TATTATAAAAAGGTTTTGCCCAACGTGGCGCTCGAATCCACGACCCTGGGAGTATGAGTACCATGCTCTACCGACTGAGCTAGCAGGTCTGTATGATTCTAACTGAGAGACTGTGGATGCTAATGATCACCCTTTTTCAGAAATTTTTGGTTGAATTGTTTTTCTGTTATATAAAATATCGAAGAATTGAAAAGGTTTTTTTCATATACGTCCACAGATGTCCCTCAAATGGAGTCTCCGTCATATGGAATTGCAAAAGATTGTTTTTTGAATTTTATTTTAAAAAATTGCCCAACGTGGGGCTCGAACCTAAGACCCTGAGATGAAGAGTCCCATGCTCTACCGACTGAGCTAGCCGGGCTGTATTATGTTAACAAAGAGACTGTGTTTGCTAATGATCACCCTTTTTCCGAAGTTTTTGTTGAGTTACTTTTTTCTGTTGACTAAAGTATAGAAGAATTGAAAAGTTTTTTTTTCATTTGCGTTAAAGCTCTCCGTGAAATGGATTCGCAAAAGATTGTTTTTTTTTATTATTATGAAAATTTTTCGCCCAAGATGGGGCACGATACGACTACCCTGGGATTAAGAGTCTCATGCTCTACCGACTGAGCTAGCCATATGGTTTTAATGAAGGCACTGTGTTTGTTAATGGTCATTATTTTGAAATTTTTGTTGAGTTGGTTTTTCTTTTTCGCAAATTATAGAAGAATTGAAAAGTTATTTTTTCATTTGCGGTGAAGCTCTCAGTCAAATAGTCTTGCAAAACATTGTTTTGTGAATATTAAAAAAATTTTTCGCTCAACTTGGGGCTCGAATCCACGACCCTGGAATAAAGATTCCCATGCTCTACCGACTGAGCTAGCCGGGCTGTATGATTTTAATGAAAAGACTCTGGTTGCTAATGTTCACCCTTTTCCCGAAATTTTTGTTGAATTGTTTTTTATGTTATATAAAATATAGAAGAATTGAAAAGATTTTTTTTTCATCTGCGTTTAAGCTCTCCGTCAAATGGATTTGCGAAAAATTGTTTTGTGATTTTATGAAAAAGTTTTCGCTCACGTGGGGCTCGAATCCACGATCCTGGTATAAAGAGTCTCATGCTCTACCGACTGAGCTAGCCGGGCTGTAAGATGTTCACTAAGAGACTGTGTTTGCTAATGATCACCCTTTTTCTGAAATTTTTGTTGAATTGTTTTTTCTTTTGATTAAAGTGTAGAAGAAATGGAAAGGTCTCTTTCATTTGCGGTCGAGCTATGCGTAAAATGGAATTGCGAAAGATTGTGTTTTAAATATTTTAAAAAGTTTTCGCCCATCGTGGAGCTCGAACCCAAGACCCTGAGATGAAGAGTCCAATGCTCTACCGACTGAGCTAGCCGGGCATTGTTATGTTTACTAAGAGACTATGTTTGCTAATGATCACCCTTTTTCCGAAGTTTTTGGTTGAATTGTTTTTCTGTTATATAAAATATCGAAGAATTGAAAAGGTTTTTTTCATATACGTCCACAGATGTCCCTCAAATGGAGTCTCCGTCATATGGAATTGCAAAAGATTGTTTTTTGAATTTTATTTTAAAAAATTGCCCAACGTGGGGCTCGAACCTAAGACCCTGAGATGAAGAGTCCCATGCTCTACCGACTGAGCTAGCCGGGCTGTATTATGTTAACAAAGAGACTGTGTTTGCTAATGATCACCCTTTTTCCGAAGTTTTTGTTGAGTTACTTTTTTCTGTTGACTAAAGTATAGAAGAATTGAAAAGTTTTTTTTTCATTTGCGTTAAAGCTCTCCGTGAAATGGATTCGCAAAAGATTGTTTTTTTTATTATTATGAAAATTTTTCGCCCAAGATGGGGCACGATACGACTACCCTGGGATTAAGAGTTTCATGCTCTACCGACTGAGCTAGCCATATGGTTTTAATGAAGGCACTGTGTTTGTTAATGGTCATTATTTTGAAATTTTTGTTGAGTTGGTTTTTCTTTTTCGCAAATTATAGAAGAATTGAAAAGTTATTTTTTCATTTGCGGTGAAGCTCTCAGTCAAATAGTCTTGCAAAACATTGTTTTGTGAATATTAAAAAAAATTTTCGCTCAACTTGGGGCTCGAATCCACGACCCTGGAATAAAGATTCCCATGCTCTACCGACTGAGCTAGCCGGGCTGTATGATTTTAATGAAAAGACTCTGGTTGCTAATGTTCACCCTTTTCCCGAAATTTTTGTTGAATTGTTTTTTCTGTTATATAAAATATAGAAGAATTGAAAAGATTTTTTTTCATCTGCGTTTAAGCTCTCCGTCAAATGGATTTGCGAAAAATTGTTTTGTGATTTTATGAAAAAGTTTTCGCTCACGTGGGGCTCGAATCCACGATCCTGGTATAAAGAGTCTCATGCTCTACCGACTGAGCTAGCCGGGCTGTAAGATGTTCACTAAGAGACTGTGTTTGCTAATGATCACCCTTTTTCTGAAATTTTTGTTGAATTGTTTTTTCTTTTGATTAAAGTGTAGAAGAAATGGAAAGGTCTCTTTCATTTGCGGTCGAGCTATGCGTAAAATGGAATTGCGAAAGATTGTGTTTTAAATATTTTAAAAAGTTTTCGCCCATCGTGGAGCTCGAACCCAAGACCTTGAGATGAGGAGTCCAATGCTCTACCGACTGAGCTAGCCGGGCATTATTATGTTTACTAAGAGACTATGTTTGCTAATGATCACCCTTTTTCCGAAGTTTTTGGTTGAATTGTTTTTCTGTTATATAAAATATCGAAGAATTGAAAAGGTTTTTTTCATATACGTCCACAGATGTCCCTCAAATGGAGTCTCCGTCATATGGAATTGCAAAAGATTGTTTTTTGAATTTTATTTTAAAAAATTGCCCAACGTGGGGCTCGAACCTAAGACCCTGAGATGAAGGGTCCCATGCTCTACCGACTGAGCTAGCCGGGCTGTATTATGTTAACAAAGAGACTGTGTTTGCTAATGATCACCCTTTTTCCGAAGTTTTTGTTGAGTTACTTTTTTCTGTTGACTAAAGTATAGAAGAATTGAAAAGTTTTTTTTCATTTGCGTTAAAGCTCTCCGTGAAATGGATTCGCAAAAGATTGTTTTTTTTTATTATTATGAAAATTTTTCGCCCAAGATGGGGCACGATACGACTACCCTGGGATTAAGAGTTTCATGCTCTACCGACTGAGTCTGTTGACTAAAGTATAGAAGAATTGAAAAGTTTTTTTTTTCATTTGCGTTAAAGCTCTCCGTGAAATGGATTTGCAAAAGATTGTTTTTTTTATTATTATGAAAATTTTTCGCCCAAGATGGGGCACGATCCGACTACCCTGGAATTAAGAGTCTCATGCGCTACCGACTGAGCTAGCCGGGCTGTATTGGAGAATATAGAAGAATTGGAAAGTTTTTTTTTCATTTGCGGTCAAGCTCTGCGTCAAATGGAATTGCGAAAGATTGTGTTTTAAATATCATAAAAAGTTTTCGCCCAACGTGGAGCTCGAACCCAAGACCCTGAGATGAAGAGTCGCATGCTCTACCGACTGAGCTAGCCGGGCTGTATTATGTTAACTAAGAGACTGTGATTGGTAATGATCACCCTTTTTCCGAAGTTTTTGTTGAATTGTTTTTTTCTGTTGACTAAAGTATAGAAGAATTGAAAAGTTTTTTTTTCATTTGCGTTAAAGCTCTCCGTGAAATGGATTCGCAAAAGATTTTTTTTTTATTATTATGAAAATTTTTCGCCCAAGATGGGGCACGATCCGACTACCCTGGAATTAAGAGTCTCATGCTCTACCGACTGAGTCTGTTGACTAAAGTATAGAAGAATTGAAAAGTTTTTTTTTTCATTTGCGTTAAAGCTCTCCGTGAAATGGATTTGCAAAAGATTGTTTTTTTTATTATTATGAAAATTTTTCGCCCAAGATGGGGCACGATCCGACTACCCTGGAATTAAGAGTCTCATGCGCTACCGACTGAGCTAGCCGGGCTGTATTGGAGAATATAGAAGAATTGGAAAGTTTTTTTTTCATTTGCGGTCAAGCTCTGCGTCAAATGGAATTGCGAAAGATTGTGTTTTAAATATCATAAAAAGTTTTCGCCCAACGTGGAGCTCGAACCCAAGACCCTGAGATGAAGAGTCGCATGCTCTACCGACTGAGCTAGCCGGGCTGTATTATGTTAACTAAGAGACTGTGATTGGTAATGATCACCCTTTTTCCGAAGTTTTTGTTGAATTGTTTTTTCTGTTGACTAAAGTATAGAAGAATTGAAAAGTTTTTTTTTCATTTGCGTTAAAGCTCTCCGTGAAATGGATTCGCAAAAGATTTTTTTTTTATTATTATGAAAATTTTTCGCCCAAGATGGGGCACGATCCGACTACCCTGGAATTAAGAGTCTCATGCTCTACCGACTGAGCTAGCTGGGCTGTATTGGAGAATATAGAAGAATTGGAAAGTTTTTTTCATTTGCGGTCAAGCTCTGCGTCAAATGGAATTGAAAAAGTTTGTGTTTTGAATATTTTCAAAAAATTTCGACCATCATGGGGCTCGAAACTACGTGCCTGGGTTTAAGAGTCGCATTCTCTACCGATTGAGCTATCCGGGCTGTATGATTTTGATGAAGAGACTGAGTTTGCTAATGTTCACCCTTTTTTGTTGAATTTTTGTTGAATTGTTTTTTCTGTTGATAAAAATATAGAAGAATTGAACATTTTTTTTCATTTGCGTTTAAGCTCTCCGTCAAATAGATTTGCAAAATATTGTTTTTTGAATATTATAAAAAGTTTTTCACCAACGTGGGGCTCGAACCCACGATCCTGGGTTTAAGTGTGCAATGCTCTACCGACTGAGCTACCCGGGCTGTATGATTTTAACTAAGAGCTTGTGTTTGCTAATGATCACCCTTTTCCGAAATTTGTGGTTGAATTGTTTTTTTTTCATTTGCTTTCAAGCTCTCCATCTATTGGATTTGCAAAATATTGTTTTTTGAATATTATGAAAAGTTTGCGACCAACGTGGGGCTCGAACTCACGATCGTGGGATAAGGAGTCCCATGCTCTACCGACTGAACTAGCTGGGCTCTAAGATTCTAACTAAGAGACTGTGTTTGGTAATGATTACCATTTTTCCGAAATTTTTGGTTGAATTGTTTTTTTCATTTGCTTTTAAGCTCTCCATCTATTGGATTTGCAAAATATTGTTTTTTGAGTATTATGAAAAGTTTACGCCCAACGTGGGGCTCGATCCCATAAACCTGAAATTCAGAGTTCCATGCTCTACTGACTGAGCTATCTGGGCGGTATGATTTTAATGAAGAGACTGTGTTTGTTAGTGATCATCTTTTTTTCGCAATTTTTGAATTTTAGAGTCCCATGCTCTGCAGACTATTGAATATCTTTTTGACTTTTCGCTCAACGTGGGGCTCGAATCCACGACTCTGGGATTAAGAGTCCCATGCTCTACAGACTGAGCTAGCTGGGCTGTATGATGTTAACTAAGAGAGTGTGTTTGCTATTGATCATCCTTCTTCCGAAGTTATTGGTTGAATTGTTTTTTCTGTTATATAAAATATAGGAGAATTGAAATTTTTTTTTCTCCAATCTCTACCGGCTGAGCTAGCCGGGCTGTATGCTGTTAACTAAGAATTTGTGTTTGCTAATGATCATCCTTTTTCCGAAGTTTTTGGTTGATTTGTTTTTTTTGTGTTATATGAAAAATAGAAGTATTGAAAATGTTTTTTTTTTTTCATTTGCGTTTAAGCTCTACGTCAAATGGATTTGCAAAATATTGTTTTTCGAATATTATGAAAAGTTTTCGCCCATCGTGAGGCTCTAACCTTCGACCCTGGGATTAAGAGTCCCATGCTCTTCCGACTGAGCTAGCCGGGCTGTATAAAATTAATGAAGATACTCTGTTTGTTAATGACCATCTTTTTTTTCGAAATTTTTGTTGAATTGTCTTTTCTTTTACTCAAAATGTAGAAAAAGTAATTTTTTCATTTGCGGTCAGGTCAAGCTTTGCGTCAGATGAAATTGCAAAAGGTTGTGTTTTGATTATTATAAAAATTCTGGCCCAACGTCGGGCTCGAACCCACGACCCTGGGATGGAGAGTCCCATGCTCTACCGACTGAGCTAGCCGGGCTGTATGTGTTAACGAAGAGACTGTGTTTGTTAATGATCATCCTTTTTCCGAAGTTTTTGGTTGATTTAATTTTTTCTGTTATATGAAATATAGAAGTATTGAAAACGTTTTTTTTTTTCATTTGCGTTTAAGCTCTACGTCAAATGGATTTGCAAAATATTGTTTTGTGATTTTATGAAAAAGTTTTCGCTCACGTGGGGCTCGAATCCACGATCCTGGAATAAAGAGACTCATGCTCTACAGACTGAGCTAGCTGGGCTGTATGATTTTAATGAAGAGACTGTGTTTGTTAGTGATCATCTTTTTTTCGCAATTTTTGAATTTTAGAGTCCCATGCTCTGCAGACTATTGAATATCTTTTTGACTTTTCGCTCAACGTGGGGCTCGAATCCACGACTCTGGGATTAAGAGTCCCATGCTCTACAGACTGAGCTAGCTGGGCTGTATGTGTTAACGAAGAGACTGTGTTTGTTAATGATCATCCTTTTTCCGAAGTTTTTGTTTGATTTAATTTTTTCTGTTATATGAAAAATAGAAGTATTGAAAATGTTTTTTTTTTCATTTGCGTTTAAGCTCTACGTCAAATGGATTTGCAAAATATTGTTTTTCGAATATTATGAAAAGTTTTCGCCCATCGTGAGGCTCGAACCTTCGACCCTGGGATTAAGAGTCCCATGCTCTACCGACTGAGCTAGCCGGGCTGTATAAAATTAATGAAGATACTCTGTTTGTTAATGACCATCTTTTTTTTCGAAATTTTTGTTGAATTGTCTTTTCTTTTACTCAAAATGTAGAAAAAGTAATTTTTTCATTTGCGGTCAGGTCAAGCTTTGCGTCAGATGAAATTGCAAAAGGTTGTGTTTTGATTATTATAAAAATTCTGGCCCAACGTCGGGCTCGAACCCACGACCCTGGGATGGAGAGTCCCATGCTCTACCGACTGAGCTAGCCGGGCTGTATGTGTTAACGAAGAGACTGTGTTTGTTAATGATCATCCTTTTTCCGAAGTTTTTGTTTGATTTAATTTTTTCTGTTATATGAAAAATAGAAGTATTGAAAATGTTTTTTTTTTCATTTGCGTTTAAGCTCTACGTCAAATGGATTTGCAAAATATTGTTTTTCGAATATTATGAAAAGTTTTCGCCCATCGTGAGGCTCGAACCTTCGACCCTGGGATTAAGAGTCCCATGCTCTACCGACTGAGCTAGCCGGGCTGTATAAAATTAATGAAGATACTCTGTTTGTTAATGACCATCTTTTTTTTCGAAATTTTTGTTGAATTGTCTTTTCTTTTACTCAAAATGTAGAAAAAGTAATTTTTTCATTTGCGGTCAGGTCAAGCTTTGCGTCAGATGAAATTGCAAAAGGTTGTGTTTTGATTATTATAAAAATTCTGGCCCAACGTCGGGCTCGAACCCACGACCCTGGGATGGAGAGTCCCATGCTCTACCGACTGAGCTAGCCGGGCTGTATGTGTTAACGAAGAGACTGTGTTTGTTAATGATCATCCTTTTTCCGAAGTTTTTGGTTGATTTAATTTTTTCTGTTATATGAAATATAGAAGTATTGAAAACGTTTTTTTTTCATTTGCGTTTAAGCTCTACGTCAAATGGATTTGCAAAATATTGTTTTGTGATTTTATGAAAAAGTTTTCGCTCACGTGGGGCTCGAATCCACGATCCTGGAATAAAGAGACTCATGCTCTACAGACTGAGCTAGCTGGGCTGTATGAATTTAATGAAGAGACTGTGTTTGTTAGTGATCATCTTTTTTTCGCAATTTTTGAATTTTAGAGTCCCATGCTCTGCAGACTATTGAATATCTTTTTGACTTTTCGCTCAACGTGGGGCTCGAATCCACGACTCTGGGATTAAGAGTCCCATGCTCTACAGACTGAGCTAGCTGGGCTGTATGATGTTAACTAAGAGACTGTGTTTGCTATTGATCATCCTTTTCCCGAAGTTATTGGTTGAATTGTTTTTTCTGTTATATAAAATATAGGAGAATTGAAATTTTTTTTCTCCAATCTCTACCGGCTGAGCTAGCCGGGCTGTATGCTGTTAACTAAGAATTTGTGTTTGCTAATGATCATCCTTTTTCCGAAGTTTTTGGTTGATTTGTTTTTTTTGTGTTATATGAAAAATAGAAGTATTGAAAATGTTTTTTTTTTTCATTTGCGTTTAAGCTCTACGTCAAATGGATTTGCAAAATATTGTTTTTCGAATATTATGAAAAGTTTTCGCCCATCGTGAGGCTCGAACCTTCGACCCTGGGATTAAGAGTCCCATGCTCTACCGACTGAGCTAGCCGGGCTGTATAAAATTAATGAAGATACTCTGTTTGTTAATGACCATCTTTTTTTTTCGAAATTTTTGTTGAATTGTCTTTTCTTTTACTCAAAATGTAGAAAAAGTAATTTTTTCATTTGCGGTCAGGTCAAGCTTTGCGTCAGATGAAATTGCAAAAGGTTGTGTTTTGATTATTATAAAAATTCTGGCCCAACGTCGGGCTCGAACCCACGACCCTGGGATGGAGAGTCCCATGCTCTACCGACTGAGCTAGCCGGGCTGTATGTGTTAACGAAGAGACTGTGTTTGTTAATGATCATCCTTTTTCCGAAGTTTTTGTTTGATTTAATTTTTTCTGTTATATGAAATATAGAAGTATTGAAAACGTTTTTTTTTTTTCATTTGCGTTTAAGCTCTACGTCAAATGGATTTGCAAAATATTGTTTTGTGATTTTATGAAAAAGTTTTCGCTCACGTGGGGCTCGAATCCACGATCCTGGAATAAAGAGACTCATGCTCTACAGACTGAGCTAGCTGGGCTGTATGATTTTAATGAAGAGACTGTGTTTGTTAGTGATCATCTTTTTTTCGCAATTTTTGAATTTTAGAGTCCCATGCTCTGCAGACTATTGAATATCTTTTTGACTTTTCGCTCAACGTGGGGCTCGAATCCACGACTCTGGGATTAAGAGTCCCATGCTCTACAGACTGAGCTAGCTGGGCTGTATGATGTTAACTAAGAGACTGTGTTTGCTATTGATCATCCTTTTTCCGAAGTTATTGGTTGAATTGTTTTTTCTGTTATATAAAATATAGGAGAATTGAAATTTTTTTTCTCCAATCTCTACCGGCTGAGCTAGCCGGGCTGTATGCTGTTAACTAAGAATTTGTGTTTGCTAATGATCATCCTTTTTCCGAAGTTTTTGGTTGATTTGTTTTTTTTGTGTTATATGAAAAATAGAAGTATTGAAAATGTTTTTTTTTTCATTTGCATTTAAGCTCTACGTCAAATGGATTTGCAAAATATTGTTTTTCGAATATTATGAAAAGTTTTTGCCCATCGTGAGGCTCGAACCTTCGACCCTGGGATTAAGAGTCCCATGCTCTACCGACTGAGCTAGCCGGGCTGTATAAAATTAATGAAGATACTCTGTTTGTTAATGACCATCTTTTTTTTCGACATTTTTGTTGAATTGTCTTTTCTTTTACTCAAAATGTAGAAAAAGTAATTTTTTCATTTGCGGTCAGGTCAAGCTTTGCGTCAGATGAAATTGCAAAAGGTTGTGTTTTGATTATTATAAAAATTCTGGCCCAACGTCGGGCTCGAACCCACGACCCTGGGATGGAGAGTCCCATGCTCTACCGACTGAGCTAGCCGGGCTGTATGTGTTAACGAAGAGACTGTGTTTGTTAATGATCATCCTTTTTCCGAAGTTTTTGGTTGATTCAATTTTTTCTGTTATATGAAATATAGAAGTATTGAAAACGTTTTTTTTTTCATTTGCGTTTAAGCTCTACGTCAAATGGATTTGCAAAATATTGTTTTGTGATTTTATGAAAAAGTTTTCGCTCACGTGGGGCTCGAATCCACGATCCTGGAATAAAGAGACTCATGCTCTACAGACTGAGCTAGCTGGGCTGTATGATTTTAATGAAGAGACTGTGTTTGTTAGTGATCATCTTTTTTTCGCAATTTTTGAATTTTAGAGTCCCATGCTCTGCAGACTATTGAATATCTTTTTGACTTTTCGCTCAACGTGGGGCTCGAATCCACGACTCTGGGATTAAGAGTCCCATGCTCTACAGACTGAGCTAGCTGGGCTGTATGATGTTAACTAAGAGACTGTGTTTGCTATTGATCATCCTTTTTCCGAAGTTATTGGTTGAATTGTTTTTTCTGTTATATAAAATATAGGAGAATTGAAATTTTTTTTCTCCAATCTCTACCGGCTGAGCTAGCCGGGCTGTATGCTGTTAACTAAGAATTTGTGTTTGCTAATGATCATCCTTTTTCCGAAGTTTTTGGTTGATTTGTTTTTTTTTGTGTTATATGAAAAATAGAAGTATTGAAAACGTTTTTTTTTTCATTTGCGTTTAAGCTCTACGTCAAATGGATTTGCAAAATATTGTTTTTCGAATATTATGAAAAGTTTTCGCCCATCGTGAGGCTCGAACCTTCGACCCTGGGATTAAGAGTCCCATGCTCTACCGACTGAGCTAGCCGGGCTGTATGAAATTAATGAAGATACTCTGTTTGTTAATGACCATCTTTTTTTTTCGAAATTTTTGTTGAATTGTCTTTTCTTTTACTCAAAATGTAGAAAAAGTAATTTTTTCATTTGCGGTCAGGTCAAGCTTTGCGTCAGATGAAATTGCAAAAGGTTGTGTTTTGATTATTATAAAAATTCTGGCCCAACGTCGGGCTCGAACCCACGACCCTGGGATGGAGAGTCCCATGCTCTACCGACTGAGCTAGCCGGGCTGTATGTGTTAACGAAGAGACTGTGTTTGTTAATGATCATCCTTTTTCCGAAGTTTTTGTTTGATTTAATTTTTTCTGTTATATGAAATATAGAAGTATTGAAAACGTTTTTTTTTTCATTTGCGTTTAAGCTCTACGTCAAATGGATTTGCAAAATATTGTTTTGTGATTTTATGAAAAAGTTTTCGCTCACGTGGGGCTCGAATCCACGATCCTGGAATAAAGAGACTCATGCTCTACAGACTGAGCTAGCTGGGCTGTATGATTTTAATGAAGAGACTGTGTTTGTTAGTGATCATCTTTTTTTCGCAATTTTTGAATTTTAGAGTCCCATGCTCTGCAGACTATTGAATATCTTTTTGACTTTTCGCTCAACGTGGGGCTCGAATCCACGACTCTGGGATTAAGAGTCCCATGCTCTACAGACTGAGCTAGCTGGGCTGTATGATATTAACTAAGAGACTGTGTTTGCTATTGATCATCCTTTTTCCGAAGTTATTGGTTGAATTGTTTTTTCTGTTATATAAAATATAGGAGAATTGAAATTTTTGTTCTCCAATCTCTACCGGCTGAGCTAGCCGGGCTGTATGCTGTTAACTAAGAATTTGTGTTTGCTAATGATCATCCTTTTTCCGAAGTTTTTGGTTGATTTGTTTTTTTTTGTGTTATATGAAAAATAGAAGTATTGAAAATGTTTTTTTTTTTCATTTGCGTTTAAGCTCTACGTCAAATGGATTTGCAAAATATTGTTTTTCGAATATTATGAAAAGTTTTTGCCCATCGTGAGGCTCGAACCTTCGACCCTGGGATTAAGAGTCCCATGCTCTACCGACTGAGCTAGCCGGGCTGTATAAAATTAATGAAGATACTCTGTTTGTTAATGACCATCTTTTTTTTCGACATTTTTGTTGAATTGTCTTTTCTTTTACTCAAAATGTAGAAAAAGTAATTTTTTCATTTGCGGTCAGGTCAAGCTTTGCGTCAGATGAAATTGCAAAAGGTTGTGTTTTGATTATTATAAAAATTCTGGCCCAACGTCGGGCTCGAACCCACGACCCTGGGATGGAGAGTCCCATGCTCTACCGACTGAGCTAGCCGGGCTGTATGTGTTAACGAAGAGACTGTGTTTGTTAATGATCATCCTTTTTCCGAAGTTTTTGGTTGATTCAATTTTTTCTGTTATATGAAATATAGAAGTATTGAAAACGTTTTTTTTTTCATTTGCGTTTAAGCTCTACGTCAAATGGATTTGCAAAATATTGTTTTGTGATTTTATGAAAAAGTTTTCGCTCACGTGGGGCTCGCATCCACGATCCTGGAATAAAGATACTCATGCTCTACAGACTGAGCTAGCTGGGCTGTATGATTTTAATGAAGAGACTGTGTTTGTTAGTGATCATCTTTTTTTCGCAATTTTTGAATTTTAGAGTCCCATGCTCTGCAGACTATTGAATATCTTTTTGACTTTTCGCTCAACGTGGGGCTCGAATCCACGACTCTGGGATTAAGAGTCCCATGCTCTACAGACTGAGCTAGCTGGGCTGTATGATGTTAACTAAGAGACTGTGTTTGCTATTGATCATCCTTTTTCCGAAGTTATTGGTTGAATTGTTTTTTCTGTTATATAAAATATAGGAGAATTGAAATTTTTTTTCTCCAATCTCTACCGGCTGAGCTAGCCGGGCTGTATGCTGTTAACTAAGAATTTGTGTTTGCTAATGATCATCCTTTTTCCGAAGTTTTTGGTTGATTTGTTTTTTTTTGTGTTATATGAAAAATAGAAGTATTGAAAACGTTTTTTTTTTCATTTGCGTTTAAGCTCTACGTCAAATGGATTTGCAAAATATTGTTTTTCGAATATTATGAAAAGTTTTCGCCCATCGTGAGGCTCGAACCTTCGACCCTGGGATTAAGAGTCCCATGCTCTACCGACTGAGCTAGCCGGGCTGTATGAAATTAATGAAGATACTCTGTTTGTTAATGACCATCTTTTTTTTCGAAATTTTTGTTGAATTGTCTTTTCTTTTACTCAAAATGTAGAAAAAGTAATTTTTTCATTTGCGGTCAGGTCAAGCTTTGCGTCAGATGAAATTGCAAAAGGTTGTGTTTTGATTATTATAAAAATTCTGGCCCAACGTCGGGCTCGAACCCACGACCCTGGGATGGAGAGTCCCATGCTCTACCGACTGAGCTAGCCGGTCTGTATGTGTTAACGAAGAGACTGTGTTTGTTAATGATCATCCTTTTTCCGAAGTTTTTGGTTGATTTAATTTTTTCTGTTATATGAAATATAGAAGTATTGAAAACGTTTTTTTTTTCATTTGCGTTTAAGCTCTACGTCAAATGGATTTGCAAAATATTGTTTTGTGATTTTATGAAAAAGTTTTCGCTCACGTGGGGCTCGAATCCACGATCCTGGAATAAAGAGACTCATGCTCTACAGACTGAGCTAGCCGGGCTGTATGATGTTAACTAAGAGACTGTGTTTGCTAATGATCATCCTTTTTCCGAAGTTTTTGGTTGATTTGTTTTTTTTCTGTAACATGAAAAATAGAAGTATTGAAAACGTTTTTTTTTTCATTTGCGTTTAAGCTCTACGTCAAATGGATTTGCAAAATATTGTTTTTCGAATATTATGAAAAGTTTTCGCCCATGGTGAGGCTCGAACCTTCGACCCTGGGATTAAGAGTCCCATGCTCTACCGACTGAGCTAGCCGGGCTGTATGAAATTAATGAAGATACTCTGTTTGTTAATGACCATTTTTTTTTTCCGAAATTTTTGTTGAATTGTCTTTTCTTTTACTCAAAATATAGAAAAAGTAATTTTTTCATTTGCGGTCAAGTCAAGCTTTGCGTCAGATGGAATTGCAAAAGGTTGTGTTTTGATTATTATAAAAATTCTGGCCCAACGTCGGGCTCGAACCCACGACCCTGGGATGGAGAGTCCCATGCTCTACCGACTGAGCTAGCCGGGCTGTATGATGTTAACGATGAGACTGTGTTTGCTAATGATCACCCTTTTTCCGAATTTTTGGGTTGATTTAATTTTTTCTGTTATATGAAATATAGATGTATTGAAAACGTTTTTTTTTTTCATTTGCGTTTAAGCTCTACGTCAAATGGATTTGCAAAATATTGTTTTTTGAATATTATGAAAAGTTTTTGCCCATCGTGAGGCTCGAACCCACGACCCTGGGAGTAAGAATCCCATGCTCTACCGACTGAGCTAGCCGGGCTGTATGAAATTAATGAAGATACTCTTTTTGTTAATGACCATCTTTTTTTTCGAAATTTTTGTTGAATTGTCTTTTGTTTTACTCAAAATATAGAAAAAATAATTTTTTCATTTGCGGTCAGGTCAAGCTTTGCGTCAGATGAAATTGCAAAAGGTTGTGTTTTGAGTATTATAAAAAATCTCGCCCAACGTGGGGCTCGAAATCACGACCCTAGGATGAAGAGTCCAATGCTCTTCCGACTGAGCTAGCCGGGCTGTATGATATTAACGAAGAGACTGTGTTTGTTAATGATCATCCTTTTTCCGAAGTTTTTGGTTGATTTAATTTTTTCTGTTATATGAAATATAGAAGTATTGAAAACGTTTTTTTTTTTCATTTGCGTTTAAGCTCTACGTCAAATGGATTTGCAAAATATTGTTTTTCGAATATTATGAAAAGTTTTCGCCCATCTTGAGGCTCGAACCCACGACCCTGGGAGTAAGAATCCCATGCTCTACCGACTGAGCTAGCCGGGCTGTATGAAATTAATGAAGATACTCTTTTTGTTAATGACCATATTTTTTTTCGAAATTTTTGTTGAATTGTCTTTTGTTTTACTCAAAATATAGAAAAAGTAATTTTTTCATTTGCGGTCAGGTCAAGCTTTGCGTCAGATGAAATTGCAAAAGGTTGTGTTTTGAGTATTATAAAAAATCTCTCCCATCGTGGGGCTCGAAACCACGACCCTAGGATGAAGAGTCCAATGCTCTTCCGACTGAGCTAGCCGGTCTGTATGATTTTAACGAAGAGACTGTGTTTGTTAATGATCATCCTTTTTCCGAAGTTTTTGCTTGATTTAATTTTTTCTGTTATATGAAATATAGAAGTATTGAAAACGTTTTTTTTTTCATTTGCGTTTAAGCTCTACGTCAAATGGATTTGCAAAATATTGTTTTGTGATTTTATGAAAAAGTTTTCGCTCACGTGGGGCTCGAATCCACGATCCTGGAATAAAGAGTCTCATGCTCTACAGACTGAGCTAGCCGGGCTGTATGATGTTAACTAAGAGACTGTTTTTGCTAATGATCATCCTTTTTCCGAAGTTATTGGTTGAATTGTTTTTTCTGTTATATAAAATATAGGAGAATTGAAATTTTTTTTCTCCAATCTCTACCGGCTGAGCTAGCCGGACTGTATGTTGTTAACTAAGAATTTGTGTTTGCTAATGATCATCCTTTTTCCGAAGTTTTTGGTTGATTTGTTTTTTTTGTGTTATATGAAAAATAGAAGTATTGAAAATGTTTTTTTTTTCATTTGCGTTTAAGCTCTACGTCAAATGGATTTGCAAAATATTGTTTTTCGAATATTATGAAAAGTTTTTGCCCATCGTGAGGCTCGAACCTTCGACCCTGGGATTAAGAGTCCCATGCTCTACCGACTGAGCTAGCCTGGCTGTATGAAATTAATGAAGATACTCTGTTTGTTAATGACCATCTTTTTTTCGAAATTTTTGTTGAATGGTCTTTTCTTTTACTCAAAATATAGAAAAAGTAATTTTTTCATTTGCGGTCAGGTCAAGCTTTGCGTCAGATGGAATTGCAAAAGGTTGTGTTTTGATTATTATAAAAATTCTGGCCCAACGTCGGGCTCGAACCCACGACCCTGGGATGGAGAGTCCCATGCTCTACCGACTTAGCTAGCCGGGCTGTATGATATTAACGATGAGACTGTGTTTGCTAATGATCACCCTTTTTCCGAATTTTTTGTTGAATTGTTTTTTCTGTTGAATCAAATATAGAAGAATTGATAAGGTTTTTTTTTCAATTGCGTTTATGCACTCCGTCAAATGGATTTGCAATAGATTGTTTTTTGAATACCTAATAATCTTTTCGCCGAACGTGCGGCTGGAACCCATGACCCTGGGTTTAAGATTCGCATGCTCTACCGATTGAGCTAGCCGTGCTTTATGATGTAAACTAAGAGACTGTGTTTGCTAATGATCACCCTTTTTCCGAAATTTTAGTTGAATTGTTTTTATGTTATATAAAATATAGAAGAATTGAAAAGGTTTTTTTAAATTTGCTTTCAAGCTCTCCTTCAATTGGATTTGCAAAATATTATATCTTTGAAGATTATAAAAAATTTTTGCCCAACTTGGTGCTCGAACCCACGACCCTGGGAGTAAGAATCCCATGCTCTACCGACTGAGCTAGCCGGGCTGTATGAAATTAATGAAGATACTCTTTTTGTTAATGACCATCTTTTTTTTCGAAATTTTTGTTGAATTGTCTTTTCTTTTACTCAAAATCTAGAAAAAGTAATTTTTTCATTTGCGGTCAGGTCAAGCTTTGCGTCAGATGGAATTGCAAAAGGTTGTGTCTTGATTATTATAAAAATTCTCGCCCAACGTCGGGCTCGAACCCACGACCCTGGGATGAAGACTCCCATGCTCTACCGACTGAGCTAGCCGGGCTGTATGATATTAACGAAGAGACTGTGTTTGCTAATGATCACCCTTTTTCCGAATTTTTTGTTGAATTGTTTTTTCTGTTGAATAAATTATAGAAGAATTGATAAGGTTTTTTTTCAATTGCGTTTATGCACTCCGTCAAATATATTTGCAAAACATTGTTTTTTGAATACTCAAAAATCTTTTCGCCCAACGTGGGGCTGGAACCCATGACCCTGGGATTAAGATTTGCATGCTCTACCGATTGAGCTAGCCGGGCTTTATGATGTAAACTAAGAGACTGTGTTTGCTAATGATCACCCTTTTTCCGAAATTTTAGTTGAATTGTTTTTATGTTAAATAAAATATAGAAGAATTGAAAAGGTTTTTTTTATTTGCTTTCAAGCTCTCCGTCAATTGGATTTGCAAAATATTATCTCTTTGAAGATTATAAAAAATTTTCGCCCAACTTGGTGCTCGAACCCACGACCGTGGGAGTAAGAATCCCATGCGCTACCGACTGAGCTAGCCGGGCTGTATGATATTAACAAAGAGACTGTGTTTGGTAATGATCACCCTTTTTTCCGAATTTTTTGTTGAATTGTTTTTTCTGTTGAGTAAAATATAGAAGAATTGAAAAGGTTTTTTTTCAATTGCGTTTGTGCACTCCGTCAAATGGATTTGCAAAAGATTGTTTTTTGAATATTCAAAAAACTTTTCGCCGATCGTGGGGCTGGAACTCATGACCCTGGGATTAAGAGTGCAATGCTCTACCGACTGCGCTAGCCGGGCTTTATGATGTAAGCTAAGAGTTTGTGTTTGCCAATGATCACCCTTTTTTCCGAATTTTTTGTTGAATTGTTTTTTCTGTTGAGTAAAATATAGAAGAATTGAAAAGGTTTTTTTTCAATTGCGTTTGTGCACTCCGTCAAATGAGTTTGCAAAAGATTGTTTTTTGAATACTCAAAAAACTTTTCGCCGAACGTGGGGCTGGAACGCATGACCATGGGATTAAGATTCCCGTGCTCTACCGACTGAGCTAGCCGGGCTTTATGATGTAAACTAAGAGAATGTGTTTGCTAATGATCATCCTTTTTCCGAACTTTTTGGTTGATTTGTTTTTTCTGTTATATAAAATATAGAAGAATTGAAAAGGTTTTTTTTCTTTGCTTTTAAGCTCTCCGTCAATTGGATTTGCAAAATGATGTTTTTTTGAAGATAATAAAAAATTTTCGCCCATCTTGGGGCTCGAACCCACGACCCTGGGTTTAAGAATCCCATGCTCTACCGACTGAGCTAGCCGGACTATATGATCTTCACGAACAGACTGTGTTTGCTAACGATCACCCTTTTTCCGAAATTTTTGTTGAATTGTTTTTTCTGTTGAGTAAAATATAGAAGAATTGAAAAGGTTTTTTTTCAATTGCGTTTGTGCACTCCGTCAAATGGATTTGCAAAAGATTGTTTTTTGAATATTCAAAAAAATTTTCGCCGATCGTGGGGCTGGAACTCATGACCCTGGGATTAAGAGTGCAATGCTCTACCGACTGCGCTAGCCGGGCTTTATGATGTAAGCTAAGAGTTTGTGTTTGCCAATGATCATCCTTTTCCGAAAGTTTTGGTTGAATTGTTTTTTCTGTTATATAAAATATAGAAGAATTGAAAAGGTTTTTTGTATTTGCTTTTAAGCTCTCCGTCAATTGGATTTGCAAATTATTGTTTTTTTTCGAAGATTATAAAATCTTTTCGCCCAACGTGGGGCTGGAACCCATGACCCTGGGATTAAGATTTGCATGCTCTACCGATTGAGCTAGCCGGGCTTTATGATGTAAACTAAGAGACTGTGTTTGCTAATGATCACCCTTTTTCCGAAATTTTAGTTGAATTGTTTTTATGTTATATAAAATATAGAAGAATTGAAAAGGTTTTTTTTATTTGCTTTCAAGCTCTCCGTCAATTGGATTTGCAAAATATTATCTCTTTGAAGATTATAAAAAATTTTCGCCCAACTTGGTGCTCGAACCCACGACCGTGGGAGTAAGAATCCCATGCGCTACCGACTGAGCTAGCCGGGCTGTATGATATTAACAAAGAGACTGTGTTTGGTAATGATCACCCTTTTTTCCGAATTTTTTGTTGAATTGTTTTTTCTGTTGAGTAAAATATAGAAGAATTGAAAAGGTTTTTTTTTCAATTGCGTTTGTGCACTCCGTCAAATGGATTTGCAAAAGATTGTTTTTTGAATATTCAAAAAACTTTTCGCCGATCGTGGGGCTGGAGCTCATGACCCTGGGATTAAGAGTGCAATGCTCTACCGACTGCGCTAGCCGGGCTTTATGATGTAAGCTAAGAGTTTGTGTTTGCCAATGATCACCCTTTTTTCCGAATTTTTTGTTGAATTGTTTTTTCTGTTGAGTAAAATATAGAAGAATTGAAAAGGTTTTTTTTCAATTGCGTTTGTGCACTCCGTCAAATGAGTTTGCAAAAGATTGTTTTTTGAATACTCAAAAAACTTTTCGCCGAACGTGGGGCTGGAACGCATGACCATGGGATTAAGATTCCCGTGCTCTACCGACTGAGCTAGCCGGGCTTTATGATGTAAACTAAGAGAATGTGTTTGCTAATGATCATCCTTTTTCCGAACTTTTTGGTTGATTTGTTTTTTCTGTTATATAAAATATAGAAGAATTGAAAAGGTTTTTTTTCTTTGCTTTTAAGCTCTCCGTCAAATGGATTTGCAAAATGATGTTTTTTTGAAGATAATAAAAAATTTTCGCCCATCTTGGGGCTCGAACCCACGACCCTGGGTTTAAGAATCCCATGCTCTACCGACTGAGCTAGCCGGACTATATGATCTTCACGAACAGACTGTGTTTGCTAACGATCACCCTTTTTCCGAAATTTTTGTTGAATTGTTTTTTCTGTTGAGTAAAATATAGAAGAATTGAAAAGGTTTTTTTTCAATTGCGTTTGTGCACTCCGTCAAATGGATTTGCAAAAGATTGTTTTTTGAATATTCAAAAAACTTTTCGCCGATAGTGGGGCTGGAACTCATGACCCTGGGATTAAGAGTGCAATGCTCTACCGACTGCGCTAGCCGGGCTTTATGATGTAAGCTAAGAGTTTGTGTTTGCCAATGATCATCCTTTTCCGAAAGTTTTGGTTGAATTGTTTTTTCTGTTATATAAAATATAGAAGAATTGAAAAGGTTTTTTGTATTTGCTTTTAAGGTCTCCGTCAATTGGATTTGCAAATTATTGTTTTTTTCGAAGATTATAAAAACTTTTCGCCCAACTTGGTGCTCGAACCTATGACCCTGGGATTAAGAGTCGTATGCTCTACCGACTGAGCTAGCCGGGCTGTATGATGTTATCTAAGAGACTGTGTTTCCTAATGATCACCCTTTTTCCGAAATTTTTATTGAATTGTTTTTTTCTGTTGAATAAAATATAGAGGAATTGATAATGTTTTTTTAAATTGCGTTTAAGCACTCCGTCAAATCGATTCGCAAAAGATTGTTTTTTGAATACTATAAAAAGTTTTCGCCCAACGTGGGGCTCGAACCCACGACCTTGGGATTAAAAGTCCCATGCTCTACCGACTGAACTAGCCGGGCTGTATGATGTTAACTAAGAGAGTGTGTTTGTTAATGATCGTCCTTTTTCCGAAGTTTTTGGTTGAATTGTTTTTTCTGTTATATAAAATAAACAGATTTGAATTGAAAAGTTTCTTATTTACCCTGAAAGCTCTCCGTCATTTGGATTTGAAAAACATTGTTTTTTGATTATTATAAAAAAAATTCGCCCATCGTGGGGCTCCAACCCACGACCTTGGGAGTAAGAATTCCATGCTCTAACGACTGAGCTAGGCGGGCTGTATTATTAAACTGGAGAGACTGTGTTTGTTAATGATCGTCTTTTTTTCGAAATTTTTGTTGAATTGTTTTTTTTTTTCACTCAAAATATAGAAGAATTGAAAAGTAATTTTTTTCATTTGCGGTCAAGCTTTGTGTCAGATAGAATTGCAAAAGTTTGTGTATTGAATTTTTTACTAACTGTTCGCTCATCGCGGGGCTCGAATCCACGACCCTGGGTTTAAGAATCCCATGCTCTACCGACTGAGCTAGCCGGACTATATGATCTTCACGAAGAGACTGTGTTTGCTAACGATCACCCTTTTTCCGAAATTTTTGTTGAATTGTTTTTTCTGTTGAGTAAAATATAGAAGAATTGATAAGGTTTTTTTTTCAATTGCGTTTATGCACTCTGTCAAATGAGTTTGCAAAAGATTGTTTTTTGAATACTCAAAAAACTTTTCGCCGAACGTGGGGCTGGAACTCATGACCATGGGATTAAGATTCCCGTGCTCTACCGACTGAGCTAGCCGGGCTTTATGATGTAAACTAAGAGAATGTGTTTGCTAATGATCTTCCTTTTTCCGAACTTTTTGGTTGATTTGTTTTTTCTGTTATATAAAATATAGAAGAATTGAAAAGGTTTTTTTTTCTTTGCTTTTAAGCTCTCCGTCAATTGGATTTGCAAAATGATGTTTTTTTGAAGATTATAAAAAATTTTCGCGCATCTTGGGGCTCGAACCCACGACCCTGGGTTTAAGAATCCCATGCTCTACCGACTGAGCTAGCCGAAGAGACTGTGTTTGCTAACGATCACCCTTTTTCCGAAATTTTTGTTGAATTGAAAAGGTTTTTTTTTTCAATTGCGTTTGTGCACTCCGTCAAATGGATTTGCAAAAGATTGTTTTTTGAATATTCAAAAAATTTTTCGCCGAACGTGGGGCTGGAACACATGACCCTGGGATTAAGAGTGCAATGCTCTACCGACTGCGCTAGCCGGGCTTTATGATGTCAGCTAAGAGTTTGTGTTTGCTAATGATCATCCTTTTTCCGAAAGTTTTGGTTGAATTGTTTTTTCTTTTATATAAAATATAGAAGAATTGAAAAGGTTTTTTTATTTGCTCTTAAGCTCTCCGTCAATTGGATTTGCAAATTATTGTTTTTTTTCGAAGATTATAAAAACTTTTCGCCCAACTTGGTGCTCGAACCCATGACCCTGGGATTAAGAGTCGTATGCTCTACCGACTGAGCTAGCCGGGCTGTATGATGTTATCTAAGAGACTGTGTTTCCTAATGATCACCCTTTTTCAGAAATTTTTATTGAATTGTTTTTTCTGTTGAATAAAATATAGAGGAATTGATAATGTTTTTTTTAATTGCGTTTAAGCACTCCGTCAAATCGATTCGCAAAAGATTGTTTTTTGAATACTATAAAAAGTTTTCGCCCAACGTGGGGATCGAACCCACGACCTTGGGATTAAAAGTCCCATGCTCTACCGACTGAACTAGCCGGGCTGTATGATGGTAACTAAGAGAGTGTGTTTGTTAATGATCGTCCTTTTTCCGAAGTTTTTGGTTGAATTGTTTTTTCTGTTATATAAAATAAACAGATTTGAATTGAAAAGATTCTTATTTACCCTGAAGCTCTCCGTCATTTGGATTTGAAAAACATTGTTTTTTGATTATTATAAAAAAAATTCGCCCGTCGTGGGACTCCAACCCACGACCTTGGGAGTAAGAATTCCATGCTCTAACGACTGAGCTAGACGGGCTGTATTATTAAACTGGAGAGACTGTGTTTGTTAATGATCGTCTTTTTTTCGAAATTTTTGTTGAATTGTTTTTTCTTTCACTCAAAATATAGAAGAGTTGAAAAGTAATTTTTTTCATTTGCGGTCAAGCTTTGCGTCAGATAGAATTGCAAAAGTTTGTGTATTGAATTTTTTACTAACTGTTCGCTCATCGCGGGGCTCGAATCCACGACTCTGGGATTAAGAGTCCCATGCTCTACCGACTGAGCTACCCGGGCTGTATGATGATAACTAAGAGACTGTGTTTCCTAATGATCATCCTTTTTCCGAAGTTTTTGGTTGAATTTTTTTTTCTGTTATATAAAATATAGAGGAATTGATAAGGTTTTTTTTCAATTGCGTTTAAGCACTCCGTCAAATAGATCCGCAAAAGATTGTTTTTGAATACCATAAAAACTTTTCGCCCAACGTGGGGCTCGAACTAACGACCCTGGGATTAAGAGTCCCATGCTCTACCGACTGAGCTAGCCGGGCTGTATGAGGTTAACTAAGAGACTGTGTTTGCTAATGATCACCCTTTTTCCGAAATTTTTAGTGAATTGTTTTTTCTGTTGAATAAAATATAGAGGAATTGATAAGGTTTTTTTTTTTCAATTGCGTTTAAGCACTCCGTCAAATGGATTCGCAAAAGATTGTTTTTTGAATACCATAAAAACTTTTCGCCCAACGTGGGGCTCGAACCCACGACCCTGGGATTAAGAGTCCCATGCTCTACCGACTGAGCTAGCCGGGCTGTATGAGGTTAACTAAGAGACTGTGTTTGCTAATGATCACCCTTTTCACGAAATTTTTGTTGAATTGTTTTTTCTGTTGAATAAAATATAGAGGAATTGATAAGGTTTTTTTTTCAATTGCGTTTAAGCACTCTGTCAAATGGATTTGCAAAATAATGTTTTTTGGATATTTTAGAAACTTTTTGCCCAACGTGGGTCTCGAACCCACGACCCTGGGATTAAGAGTCCCATGCTCTACCGACTGAGCTAGCCGGGCTGTATGATGATAACTAATAGATTGTGTTTGCTAATGATCACCCTTTTTACGAAATTTTTGTTGAATTGTTTTTTCTGTTGAATAAAATATAGAGGAATTGATAAGGTTTTTTTCAATTGCGTTTAAGCACTCCGTCAAATGGATTCGCAAAAGATTGTTTTTTGAATACCATAAAAACTTTTCGCCCAACATGGGGCTCGAACCCACGACCCTGGAATTAAGAGTCCCATGCTCTACCGACTGAGCTAGCCGGGCTGTATGAATATAACTAATAGATTGTGTTTGCTAATGATCACCCTTTTTACGAAATTTTTGTTGAATTGTTTTTTCTGTTGAATAAAATATAGAGGAATTGATAAGGTTTTTTTCAATTGCGTTTAAGCACTCCGTCAAATGGATTCGCAAAAGATTGTTTTTTGAATACCATAAAAACTTTTCGCCCAACACGGGGCTCGAACCCACGACCCTGGAATTAAGAGTCCCATGCTCTACCGACTGAGCTAGCCGGGCTGTATGATGATTACTAATAGATTGTGTTTGCTAATGATCACCCTTTTTACGAATTTTTTGTTGAATTGTTTTTTCTGTTGAATAAAATATAGAGGAATTGATAAGGTTTTTTTTCAATTGCGTTTAAGCACTCCGTCAAATGGATTCGCAAAAGATTGTTTTTTGAATACCATAAGAACTTTTCGCCCATCGTGGGGCTCGATCCCACGACCCTGGGATTAAGAGTCCCATGCTCTACCGACTGAGCTAGCCGGGCTGTATGAGGTTAACTAAGAGACTGTGTTTGCTAATGATCAACCTTTTTCCGAAATTTTTGTTGAATTGTTTATTCTGTTGAATAAAATATAGAGGAATTGATAAGGTTTTTTTTTCAATTGCGTTTAAGCACTCCGTCAAATGGATTCGCAAAAGATTGTTTTTTGAATACCATAAGAATTTTTCGCCCAACGTGGGGCTCGAACCCACGACCCTGGGATTAAGAATTCCATGCTCTAACGACTCAGCTAGGCAGGCTGTATTATTAAAATGGAGAGATTGTGTTTGTTAATGATCGTCCTTTTTTCGAAATTTTTGTTGAATTGTTTTTCTTTCACTCAAAATATAGAAGAATTGAAAAGTAATTTTTTTCATTTGCGGTCAAGCTTTGTGTCAGATGGAATTGCAAAAGGTTCTGTTTTGAAATTTTTACTAACTGTTCTCCCAACTTGGGGCTCGAACCCACGATCTTGGGATTAAGAGTCCCATGCTCTACCGACTGAGCTAGCCGGGCTGTGTGAGGTTAACTAAGAGACTGTGTTTGCTAATGATCAACCTTTTTCCGAAATTTTTGTTGAATTGTTTATTCTGTTGAATAAAATATAGAGGAATTGATAAGGTTTTTTTTTCAATTGCGTTTAAGCACTCCGTCAAATGGATTCGCAAAAGATTGTTTTTTGAATACCATAAGAATTTTTCGCCCAATGTGGGGCTCGAACCCACGACCCTGGGATTAAGAATTCCATGCTCTAACGACTCAGCTAGGCAGGCTGTATTATTAAAATGGAGAGATTGTGTTTGTTAATGATCGTCCTTTTTTCGAAATTTTTGTTGAATTGTTTTTCTTTCACTCAAAATATAGAAGAATTGAAAAGTAATTTTTTTCATTTGCGGTCAAGCTTTGTGTCAGATGGAATTGCAAAAGGTTCTGTTTTGAAATTTTTACTAACTGTTCTCCCAACTTGGGGCTCGAACCCACGACCTTGGGATTAAGAGTCCCATGCTCTACCGACTGAGCTAGCCGGGCTGTGTGATGATAACTAAGAGACTGCGTTTGCTAATGATCATCCTTTTTCCGAAGTTTTTGGTTGAATTGTTTTTTCTGTTATATAAAATATAGAAAAATTGAAAAGATTTTTTATTTGCCCTGAAGCTGTCCGTCATTTGGATTTGGAAAATATTGTTTTTTTTTGAAGATTATGAAAACTTTTCGCCCAATTTGGTGCTCGAACCCATGACTCTGGGATTAAGAGTCTCATGCTCTACCGACTGAGCTAGCCGGGCTGTATGATGTTAACTAAGAGACTGTGTTTGCTAATGATCACCCTTTTTCCGAATTTTTTGTTGAATTGTTTTTTCTGTTGAATAAAATATAGAGGAATTGATAAGGTTTTTTTTCAATTGCGTTTAAGCACTCCGTCAAATCGATTCGCAAAAGATTGTTTTTTGAATACCATAAAAACTTTTAGCCCAACGTGGGGCTCGAACCCACGACCCTGGGATGAAGAGTCCCATGCTCTACCGACTGAGCTAGCCGGGCTGTATGATGATAACTAAGAGACTGTGTTTGCTAATGATCATCCTTTTTCCGAAGTTTTTGGTTGAATTGTTTTTTGTTATATAAAATATAGAAGAATTGAAAAGGTTTTTTTTTTAAATTTGCTTTCAAGCTCTCCGTCAATTGGATTTGCAAAATATTATCTCTTTGAAGATTATAAAAAATTTTCGCCCAACGTGGGGCTCGAACCCATTACCCTGGGAGGAAGAATTCCATGCTATAACGACTGAGCTAGCCGGGCTGTATGATGTTAACTAAGAGACTGTGTTTGCTAATGATCATTCTTTTTCTAAAGTTTTTGGTTGAAATGTTTTTTCTGTTATATAAAATATAGAAAAATTGAAAAGATTTTTTATTTGCCCTGAAGCTGTCCGTCGTTTGGATTTGAAAAATATTGTCTTTTGAACATTATAAAAAATTTTCGCCTAACGTGGGGCTCGAACCCACGACCCTGGGAGGAAGAATTCCATGCTCTAACGACTGAGCTAGCCGGGCTGTATGATGATATCCAAGAGACTGTGTTTGGTAATGATCATCCTTTTTCGAAATTTTTGGTTGAACTGTTTTTTTTGTTATATAAAATATAGAAGAATTGAAAAGGTTTTTTATTTGCCCTGAAGCTGTCCGTCGTTTGGATTTTAAAAATATTGTTTTTTTTGAAGATTATGAAAACTTTTCGCCCAATTTGGTGCTCGAACCCATGACCCTGGGATTAAGAGTCTCATGCTCTACCGACTGAGCTAGCCGGTCTGTATGATGATAACTAAGAGACTGTGTTTGCTAATGATCATCCTTTTTCCGAAGTTTTTGGTTGAATTGTTTTTTTTGTTATATAAAATATAGAAAAATTGAAAAGATTTTTTATTTGCCCTGAAGCTGTCCGTCGTTTGGATTTTAAAAATATTGTTTTTTTTTGAAGATTATGAAAACTTTTCGCCCAATTTGGTGCTCGAACCCATGACCCTGGGATTAAGAGTCTCATGCTCTACCGACTGAGCTAGCCGGGCTGTATGATGTAAACTAAGAGACTTTGTTTGCTAATAATGATCACCCTTTTTCCGAAATTTTTGTTGAAGTGTGTTTTCTGTTGAATAAAATATAGAGGATTGATAAGGTTTTTTTTTCAATTGCGTTTAAGCACTCCGTCAAATGGATTCGTAAAAGATTGTTTTTTGAATACCATAAAAACTTTTCGCCCAGCGTGGGGCTCGAACCCACGACCCTGGGATTAAAAGTCCCATGCTCTACCGACTGAGCTAGCCGGGCTGTATGATGATAACTAAGAGACTGTGTTTGCTAATGATCATCCTTTTTCCGAAGTTTTTGGTTGAATTGTTTTTTGTTATATAAAATATAGAAGAATTGAAAAGGTTTTTTTTAAAATTTGCTTTCAAGCTCTCCGTCAATTGGATTTGCAAAATATTATCTCTTTGAAGATTATAAAAAATTTTCGCCCAACGTGGGGCTCGAACCCACGACCCTGGGAGGAAGAATTCCATGCTCTAACGACTGAGCTAGCCGGGCTGTATGATGTTAACTAAGAGACTGTGTTTGCTAATGATCATTCTTTTTCCAAAGTTTTTGGTTGAAATGTTTTTTCTGTTATATAAAATATAGAAAAACTGAAAAGATTTTTTATTTGCCCTGA